TTACATTGACCTTAATATGGAAATTTTAGAAAATCTTTGCTCCCAAGGTCTCAAATGCTTCCAAATTACTAAGAAAAAATCTCTAAAAATTTTAGCTCTTAATATTAATATTTAGATAGTCTGCAATTCAATTAAAAGTTCAGTAGATTTATTATTAACAAATATCATTAGGTAAATTCTTGCGCCATCTGTGATAACAGACTTCTAGCACTTGTAATTTTGATGGCAATTTATTACTGATAATGTCAACATCATCAATTAAATAAATATTTTGCTGCAAAATTCATCTTGATGACATGATGAATAGATATTTTGTTAAACAGTCTACATGGATTTAATTAGAGGTTAAGTTATTTATAAATATTTTTAAGTGTCATAATATTTGAGTTCACAAATGCTATCACAGATGGCGCAAGGATTTACTTAATGACGTATGCTGATAATGAATATTTGAATTTTTTAATTCGCACTATCTAAATGCTAATATTAAGAGCTAAAACTTTTAGAGATTTTTTTTATTAATATGGAAGCCCTTGGGAGCAAAGAAATTCGTAAATGTCCATATTAAAAACCACCCTAATTAAAATTTAAAATTTTACAGAAATTAGTTTGGGCTAGACTAGTCAAGATCAAACTTTTTAATTTTGAAAAAATAAAAATTAATACTAATAATTCTTTACAACAAAATATTTTATTGTTGATTGCTTTAAATTTTTTCTAATTCATCAATAAAGAAAAATCACCAAAAATTATCATTTACATTTAATGATTTTTTGTCCATAATTAATAATTTTTTTAATCAAACATTTATTGCATTGCAGTACGTTGTACATTTTTTTATAGTATCGACTAATTGTAAGTAAAATTGTATTTCTATGTTTTCATTAAGTAAAAGACATCATCGCAACATTTAAATTAAAATAAATTTGTACTATATATAATATATCTATAAATATATGTAAATACAACAACAATTAAATTATAATAGTGCACATATGTGAAAAGATATAGATTTATACAAACATACACGCATATATAATTATATACACACATATATATTTTTTATATATATATATATATATATATATATATAAAATTTTGTAATTTGACTAGAAATCAATATTCAATTTAGTAATAAATCACAGCCAGAATTTCAAAAAAAATATACATAATTTAACAATATTAGCATATTATAAACACAGCAGAATTAAAGACAAAAAAATAATACAGAATATTAAATTTTTTTTTTTTAATTTTGATATTTATATTAAAACACAAAATATTAAAGAATATAATACATTACCTACACCATTTTGAGCCATTTTAAATTATAAATCTGACCAAAGTTATTTATGAGTAATGTTATTCATTAGTAAGCCATTTTAAATTAGAAATTTTACTAAAACTACGTATAAGTAACTTTAAAATTGCTTGTAAGTAACCTTCTTGGTAGTTACGATTTGTAGTTACGTATAAGTAATATTAATGTGACTTGTAAGTAAATTTAGTAGTTACGTTTAGTGGTTACGTTTAAGTAACATTAAAGTTACGTATAAATAACATTAATGTTAACTATACGTAACTTGAGTCAAATTTCTCATTTGAAATGGTTTAAAATGGTTTCATATTTTTTTGTTTTTTTTTGTGTTTTTCCTAATGTGGAAATAAAATGCTTTTATGATAAATGTCCAAGATTGGCTGTGATTTACTATATATAATTTAATATATGTGTATATGCATTATCATGGACGTTTGTATAAATCTATAAGTTTTTACATATGTGTTTAGAATAATGATTTATATATTTATAATAATATATTACAGTAATAATCGCAATGGTGTTAAGAAACCATCATTTGTTTGATGCGGCGATCGCGATGCTGTTTTGTTTTTTAATAAGTATAGTTTTTCCAGTTTTTTTAGTTTTCCAGTTTATGTTTTAAGTTGTGTATCATATGCTTACATTATATGGTGCATCAACTAACGGAAGGGTTCGACACACTACTACAGAGTTGTTTTTTTTAATTTTAATTTTATTGAGAATATACCCATGTGTAATAGTGCCGACAAATCTGGCCTTAGAATTCGATAAAACTAACGCTTAATACGCGCTGATTCATCGAAATGAAAAATTGTTCTCGAGGAAACTTTTCAGTAATGTTTCTCTTTCACAATTTGCTGTGGTTTATTGTTTTAATTACGGACGGAAGTATATATTTATATATTATTTTGTCCTCAAAAGGCCCCTATAAACATCTTTATACACAATGAAGTAAAACACTGAATGTCGTACGATTTATCTTTATTTGAAAGATTTCGTAAGCGTCTAAAGCAGACAAATGATAATAATTTTCTATTTGATTTTTTTTTCAATACGTTTATAATGACAAAGCCGAATATTCGAATTACAACATCCTATGTGACATTAAAAAATGTTTTAATCACTAATAACATCGAATTAGTTTAATTTCAAAACACACTGGTGAGACAGAGGAATCTGACGCGGCCCGACGCGTTCCATGCTTTTCTACCGCTTTCTACCGTTTTCTACCGTTTTCTACCGTTTTCTACCGCTTCCTTTCTTTTTCCCATTTTCTACCGCGTCGTCACCGTATTTGGCGGCACTTTTACAAGAAGTACGCACGCAAATGAACAGCTGCATCTCGGGGTGGGCAGTGGTATAGTCTGCATCTCTACTTCTGATGAGTCTGGTGAGGGGCTCTATATGTCCTGCGCCACTTATGCATCGCGTAAATCGTGTAATGAGTACCGGAAACCCCCGAATAGCGCGGTAGTATCATGCAAATCGGTGTTATACGAAACAACTAGTACAAAAATAGGAGGATTCCATAATAGTAATAATAAATGGTAGTCTGCCCGAAGGCAGGTCCATGATGTGAAAGCAACCACAAATCAATGATTTCCTTTCCATCCTCGTCTATCATTCCCATTACCAGTATTCCGCCTATTATGGTTTACGAAATATAAAAACTAAGCCATTATTCTTCATAATGAAAATAAATGTGATTATTGACTTTTTTATGAAGTAAGACATATTCGATAAGTTTAATAATATTTTCGACTAATTTCACTGATGTCTTACAATTTTGAAGTAATTGCTTCCAAACGATATGTCAAAATCTATGCATTGTTTCATTAAATTACTCTACAAATTGAAAAACATTTAAACCTTCAGCTCTGGAAGTTTATATTAAATTAAACCATTTCATAATGCAATGCGAAATATAATTCACTAATGGTTATTTTCTACTGGCAAATTTTGCTATGAAAATATCGAAGAATGGATAGTAATATATGAAGATCCAGGGTTAATAAGGTCCACCACCGATATCTCAAAAACCAGAAAAGTTAAGCATTGTTCAACAGCAATATTTAAAAGCAGAGGGGAAAAGATGTATAACCAGTCATCACCTTGAATCTTACGACTTTGCTATCGGGAGATAAACGGCAATCTTTAAACGGAAGGGAAAGGGGATCATTGGCATTTAATGCTCTCACACCATGGACCTCACTTTGAACACTAATTGTATGTTCTGCACTTGTAAACTTCTGTACTCAATTGATTTCAAGGATCTTTGCATAAGGAATATGATAAATTATTTGGGTAAGTCTAGGCATTTTCTCCAATAGAATGAACGCGCTCGAATAAAAAATATCAAACCAGTCATCTTTTTCACTAGTTTCGTCACGTTCATTGATCTGTTTCACAGTGATTTAACTAATTTTAAATTAAAAGTTAATTTTTTTTATTACATTTCATATTATATTAGGATTTGCCTCAATTCGAATCGGGTCAGAGTGAAACCGAGCTTGAACTGTACCGTGTTATAAGGGGGATATTTGTGTCTTAAAATTACCGTGTTATGCGGGGGCTACCTGTACTTCCACTTGGCAATTAACCGTCATCACCGAGTTCGTGAACATTTATATTTATAATTAAATTTAGCGTTTGTACAAATTCACACAAAGATTTGTACCATTTAATCCATTATTGGAGTTTAGAATATCATGAATTTGCCTACTAAATTATATATGATTTTTGTGTATTTCTTAATTTTACTTATTCGCGTATTGTTTTTTTTAAATATCTCTACACGATTTACTTGCAAGGATAATTGACGATATAAGTTTCCAAAGAGGGTAATAATAAATTTATAAGATAAGCTACACTACGAATTAATATCAAAACTGTGTCAAGAGATTATTGCGGACGCTGTTTGGCGCGGCGATATGCCAGTATTGCCGGAGTCCGGGTCCGGGTCTCCGGGTCGAACACGGAACACGGAACAGGGCAAATATTTACAACGGACGAGTTTCCGGAGCGCTCCGGGTGAACTTTCGAGCGCGATTTGTGCATTTGTACCGCACACTCGCCATACCGACTCTCACGGACGCCACACGAATACGAATCGCATGAATTGCTAATACGAACAGCCCAAACTTTTGCTGATGCACTCGGCTCAAATGTACATGTCTGTCCGATTATGATTTGCTTATTTTATTAGCACATTTTAAAAATTTATAACGAGACATACGAAGTTGCCGTAATTGAAATACAATGCTTTCGTAGAAAATTCTATAATTAAATATAATTTTCATTAACTCACTTTTGCGGGACCAGGACTGATTTTACACTTTTCAAAACATATACATACATTTAACATTACTTGTATCTAGTCAATAATTAAAATAAATTAATTAATAATTATGAAAATGCGCAATTTTAGCCTATAATAATTATAAGGGTTCGGGTCACAGAACAGGGATTGATTACTAAATTTCAGTTCACATGTTCGTGACATGAGTTCGCACGATCACACGCGCACGTTAAATAGTCGTAGTAGAGCATACCTTGTAATTTTGAATGCGCCATCGGCACCACTGTGTAGTTTAATATAAAAATTTCGTCGTAGCACAGCGGACAGTCTAGGATGAGACAATCGTCGAGGCCAGGCGCGTTTTTTCGAAATTAGTTTCGTTTAGAAAGATGCCTCTACAAGATATGTTCCGTCCATGGCAGCTCCAGTCTGGCCGCCGGGGGTTCCCGCCGTCGCGGGAATGTACTTTCCGCATGCCTGCGATAAACACACACTTGGTGGATTAGTGACACAGATATTATAACAGATGATCCTATGCTCATTCATCGCAATCTCTTGATGCAGATTATAAAATTTTATTTTATTTTATACAAACGCTATGCAAGGTTACCATCAGCGATTGATCGGTTTTGGTTGCAGGAGAAGGGAGCAGAATATCATCATCGCCATCGTCATGCAAGCACAGCTTCGAGCCACAGACCATCAAGTACGTACCAACCTGCCTGGGTTTATGCATATATACATTGTGCCGCGAAAACCGATTTTTACACCAAGGGAACAGACGAATAAGGAACATGCATCGACAAATTATACCTACTATTATGGAAATCAACGCCCAACCAGAATTAAAGTTAGAATTGCAGTTTTTGACGTCCACCTTAATCCAAATTATCATTATGTTTTAAGAGCTGATATGTATATTAAAATGAACAAGTGATTCTATACGTATTCTATATGATTTTCATAAGAAGCATTTTTGTCATATCTTACTAAAGTAAAAATTTTGCTTGAACCAAGTGAAAACTATCCAGTATATATGGAGAAGATGTGATGACAGTGTCAGAACCAGTTTGCAAATTTCATCTGATAATTTTTGATGTCGAAAAATTGGGTTAAAAAAAGTTCAAGCTTTTGCTACGAACGTAGCCTATAGACGACATTCTGTGTGAACGAGTGTTGTCTATAGATGGTGGTTTTACATTACTTAAAAGTGTAATTTCTCATTTTTTAAATGCATTTTTATCTTTTTTTAAATATATGAGTCTATTCCATTATGGATCATCAATAAATTTTTGGTAGTATTCAGAAGGTCTATATCAAATGCCAATCCAATGATTGGACGTCCGGGTATGAATTTTCATCGATAATGATTGGAAAATCTTTTGTGTAACAAACACTTCAGAGACATCCATTAATCACGTGACCGATTTTTTTTAGATTTTTGGACCCCCCCTTGGTCCTTTTATTTATGGAATGTAGCTTTGGGTCAGTTTTAATCAACTAAGAATTTTTTTGCCATCACACCTTAACTCTCATAATTTGTTTTACGAATGGATTCCTTATAAATAATATATGAGGTTCATAGACCATATAGATACCACATGGATTACTAAACCTCGTATGTTTTCTATTTTAGAAAGTGTCAAAAAATAAAAGGGGACTGTGACGTCACTTAGTGAACGAGCGTTGCCGACAATCGTGGAGCACTCCCGATTGATTAAATATCGCATTATATTAAGATGTATAATATATAATGTAATATGTAATATCCACGAGCATAGAATATTTACTTTTAAGCACATGACATATGACATATGACATTTAATCAATCGAGAGTGTTTACGATTGTCGGCAACGCTCGTTCACTAAGTCCTTTTCTATCTTTTGATACTTCTTTTCCGCTCGACTATCAGTCCATTTGTGTAAGGTTTATGATGAGGTCATATAAAAATTTGACTAAATCAACATAAAATATTGGATACTGTGATAATTAATTTTATCCAGATGTCGTGCATGTTACTTATATCGCCCAATACTTTGCCTCCTCATAGCAAAACTTTACTATTCGTATTGAAACACTTATTTTTTGTATTCAACGTTCTGATTTAAATTCTAAAATAATTACACTGACAATTTAATTACACGTACCTATATTTTGATTTATAATCATTGAAAACTATACAACAATTTTTGAATAGAGATATGTACATTACACCTCTCCCTGTTATGCAAACCTTAATTTTTTTTTATTAAAGTTTGAAGTATGAATTAATAATCTACACACAGATATGTTAAAATGAAGACAAAATTTGAATACGAAACGTAGTGCTGGAAGTATGATAGGAAGCATATTTATTTAAATATTTTAAAGAAATAAAGGTAGCGTTTATAACCGTTGTTAGGTAAAATAAGTGATTTTTTATTTATTGTCAAACTCTTAAAATTACTTGTAAAAATATATTACTTCAAATCTCGATTATATTAGTATAGTTTGAATATTTAATAATGAGTTCTCTATGTTTTGCCTTATAGCAGTGCCTTTGAACATGTTTGTGTAAATAGTTTTGAATATAAATGTGTGGTTTGATATACAAATATCACTTAATTAAAATACTATACTATCCTGAAATACATTTATATATAAATAGTAATCACATTCATAATTGTTAGGTTTGAATTCAGAATCGTTATTGTTAATAAATTTTAGCTTGCGACTGATTTGTTTACAAATTTACATTTATTTTGATCAAAATTAATATGAGAATCGAAATTGATCAACAGCTATGTGCATATTTACATCACTATATAAAAGTATATATTCACATATCTGCGTCGATATATTTTTATTGTTAGGTACAGCCTAAGGAATTTGGATAAAAGATGTAATTAGTTAAAAAATTTGAATAATTATGGAAAGTCGGATTTTTGCAAAAAATATTTATTTGTGATGAAAAATATCGTCTTACCTACTATTAAAATTTCAATCTTATTTTACAGCGCGGTTCGTATAGAAATAAGTTACCTACAAATAATAATATTTGTTTGAAATTAAAAATAAAATGCAATTATTTTTTAAAAATATCCAGTTTAATTCTACGGGGTAAAGATAAGTTATCCATAAACAAATCGTGTAATAAAAATGAAAATACAATAAATTTTTAAAAAATTTCAATCTTATTTTACAGCGCGGTTTGTACAGAAATAAGTTACCTACAAAAAATATTTGTTTGAAATTAAAAATAAAATGCAATTATTTTTTAAAAATATCGAGTTTAATTCTACGGGTCAAAAATAAGTTATCCATAAATAAATCGTGTAATAAAAATGAAAATACAATTAATTTTAAAAAAAATACAATCTAATTTTACAGCGCGGTTTGTACAGAAATAAGTTACCTATTTGATCGAATTAAAAATAAAATGCAAGTATTCTTTAAAACTCCAGTCTAAGTTTAAAAAGAAATTATTCACCTATAAATAAATCTTGTAACAAAATAAAATTTTAAAAATATATCAGTCTAATTTTGCAACGCGGTTGGTACAGAAATAAATTATTCAATCAAAAAGCTTTTTAAAGTTTTCTGATTATGTTGAAACCTTATAATTTGAGTCTAGTATTTCTCAGAATGTTTGTTATTAAGTTGGATACTAAATTTAGAAAAAAAAAAGTGGTATGAAATGTAATTCACATTTTATGACAAAGGTACTATAGGGTCCGCCATCTAATATTTTTTATTACTTTTTTTGGCAGCCATTTAAAATTTTTCAGGCAGCCATTTTAAAGTTTGGCGGCCATTTGAATGAAATTATTGGCCATTATGTACTTTCAAATACAAAAATGAAATTTTATAAAAAATTCAATAGTTTTAAAAAAAAGTTATTTTGGCGTACTCGTTTTTAAATCGCAATGTACTATATAAAACAGATGAAACTATGAATTTATCCTGTGGTACTTTAAGTCGCTAGTAATTTTTTTTAAGTTTATTTAAATCACAAAAAATAATCAATGCAAAATTCCAGCTTCCATTTAATTATGTTGAAGTAACTTTTCATTTCTTGAGCGGTATACATTAATCTATTATATATTCAAATAGCGCTCGCTTTATGTGAATAATCTAAATAGATATGTATAATTTTAATTATTTGAAATTTAACTTGGAAAATACTATGTACATTTATATTTAATGAAATATCACATATATTACAGTTATCATCCCTAATATCATTCAATCATTTAAATTGGTGCATGTGGAATTAGTGCCTATGTACAAATGAAATGTTCTTCACAATTTTTTACCATTCATAACACATCTTATAATCATCTAATCACATAAGATCTGTATATATCTTGTCTTTTTAACATTTTTGAGATTTGAATAGAATCAAAAAATAATCGGACAAGATATTATCGCGACTTAATTCAATATATATACGACTAAGTAGGCGACAGAGTACTATATAACATTAAATACGTATGTGCAATCTTCATAAGATAAATCTCCTGTAATAGTATTATTTTGTCTGCTTTTTTCTAAATTTTTGCAGACAATATGCAAGATGAGTAACGAAAGTGCACGGCGTTGAGATTTGACGACTGTGCAATAGGGATGAATAATAATAAAATTTTTGAATATCTTACAAAAACACTTATGATGCTGTTTTATGAATATGTACTACTAAAATACAAATTGTACAAATTTTCACAATTTAAAAAATTAGAAATTTGATATTAATTAACTCATCTAGGTCTGCGATTTTATACTTCAAGATGTTGATATTGTACAGTCAACTTTCCAATAACGCGGTATACTGTAAACAGGGTTTCCAGACAACGTGCAGCTGAAATTACAACAACTCTCCGATAACGCGATACTCCTATAGCGCAGTTTTTGTTCAACAACCCATAACTTCATTCCGCCTATAAATGAATATAGTAACTAGAAATTGCTGTAAAAAGTTTTGATATAGATTTATTATCGAATATTTATTTTTTCACAATATGTTAATATAAATCTGTCTGTTTAGATCATAGCCGTGTACAACATCAGTTTTAGTAGTGTCAGAGCTTTTTCACAGAACGCTGAAAGAAATTCTGCTTAATTTTTTTTTGTACAATTTATAATTTACTATATCTAATGTATTTATTTTTGTCTATTTAACGCGGTACGAATACTGTGATTTCAACTAATTCTGAGTTTATTATACCGCGGTTCCCATACAACGCGATAGCCAATTTTCATAGAACGCGTTGCAAATTAGGCTAGATTGTACGTTTTATTATATCTTTTGTATTTATTTCTTTCTATTTAACGCGGTAATTGTTCTAATTCTGATTAGGCTATATTGGACGTTAAATGCAAGTTTCTTCTAGCGCGGTTTATAAATTACATTTACACTCACCGTGTTATCGGAGGGTTGACTATATACATTTATTATAATTGAGTTCTACTAATCGTCTGAATAATTATATATAGGGTAAAGCAGGGCTTAAAGG